AAATAAATATAAAGTAAGGACTGTAAACTAAAGAAATCACACACGTATCAATAATAACTTATATAAATAATAAATTTTAAACCAAATATATAACACAGCAATAATAATTGTATAAAATCACTTCTTTGCTTAAATCAAGTATAAAAGTATATACTCACAAGTTACTTGATACTTGTTGGTTTAAATATCAAGTATAGGTTTTTAAGTATTTGGATAAGTACCAAATCTAAAAAATTATATTTAAAAATTTTTAAATTAAATACCAAATATAACTCATATTTGATTTGTATATGAAAATACTCCTCTAATGACCTCCACATTTTAAGCCCAGTATCTATGGCCCATGAAATGCATCACTAAACAATCTACTGGGCTCAACTTTCTGAGCCTAGTACCGCAAAAACCCATGTCTCCTTTAATATCGTTTGTATCAAAGATGACTTAGGGATTACTAGCCCAAACCCCCCACCCATCCGTCCATCGGACTAACAGCAAATTAGCACAACACCGGCAAGGCAAAATGAAGACAATTTTGTCGTCCGAGACAATGGACATTCCCGATCGCGTAAATGTGAAGGTGAACGTGAAGGTGATCGTAGTGGAGCGTCCTCGCGGCATGCTGTCCTGCAACTTCAAGCACCTCAACCTGGACTTCCAACTCATCAAGGACGATACAACCGGTAAGCAGAAGCTCAAAGTTGAGGCATGGTTCGGCGCTTGCGAGTCCAACGCCGTCATCCGGACTGCTCTCAGCCATGTCGAGAATCTCATCACTGGCGTTATCAAGGGGTACCACTACAAGATGCGATTCGTCTATGCCCACTTTCCTATCAATGCTTCCATCACCAATAGCAACAAATCAATTGAAATCCGTAATTTCCTTGGCGAAAAGAAGGTAGTTCTTTATTAGAATGAAATGGGTATTGATTAATCAAGACCGTTATAATTAAATATATTTTCTTTCAGGTTCGAAAAGTAATATGCTTGAAAGAGTTTCCATTGCCAGGCCGGAGAAGGTTAAAGATAAGCTGATATTGGGGGCAAAAACCAACGTTTAGCCCCTCACCTTATAAAATTAGTAAGTTTTAGCCTCTCACCTTATAACATGACAGTTTTAGTCTCCCATCTTATAAAATTGGTAGGTTTTAACCTTTTACCTTATATTATGATATTTTTAGCTCATCACCGATACGAATTAAAGAAAATAACCCTCACCTAATATTAAGTTATAATGTTCTATTATATTTGTTAGTTGACTGTTAACATCTGTTAGTTCTGTTAGTTGACTGTTAATATCTGTTAACATTCCGTTATAAAAAATATGAAATTTAAATTCAATTTTATTTATTAGTTTCATTAACAAAATATTAATGGATGCTAACAATCAACTAACAAAACTAATAGTCAACTAACAAAACTAACAGTCAACAAATAAAATTGACAGTCAGCTAACAAAACTAATAAAACATTAAAACTTAATGTTAAACAAAGGTTATTTTCTTCAATTTGTACAGATAAAAGGTTAAAAGTGTCATAATATAAGGTGAGAGGCTAAAACCTATCAACTTTGTAAGGTGAGGGATTAAAACCTACTAATTTTATAAGGTAAAAGCTTAAAAGTGTCATATTATAAGATTAAGGGTTAAAACCTATAAGGTGAGAGGCTAAATGTTGATTTTAACCCTGATATTGGATGGGAATTACATTGAGCTTGTTTCACGTTCTGCTGCCCTCATTAACCAAGTATGTTTTCTTACTCTATCTCAGTATACATGTGTATATATATATATATATATATATATAGAAAATTGACAAATCTTTGCCTACGACGGTTTTTTCTTTGCCAAAAATCTAGTTTGCTCTATATTTCTGTCAATTAGACTAACTATATTAAATACCTTCCTAAAGGTTCAAGCTCTAGTTACCTAAATTTTCTTACTTTGTTTAAAAAGTCAAATTGCATTAATTTGTGTCAGGTTGTATAAATTTCTTTCATGTTTGTCTTTGCTAAGATTGTAAAGTTTTCATCTTGTTTACATTTTTACCTAATTGTCAGACTGTGGTTTACCATCTAATTCTTTTAATCAAGTTTGTTTGTTATTATTTGTATTTATAATTTGGATGCTGTTTGTTTGTTACTATAACTCTGCTATATTATCTATTACCATACCATAATTTATTTTGTTTGACTTAGTCAATAATTTTTATCTTTGTAAAAATTACATAAATCTAAACTCCATTGGTTTGGTTAGTATTTATCTGTCTGTTTTGATTGGACTTTATGCACACAACTTTAGGGAATGGTCATTCATAATTTCTAATGTCATAGAATTAGTTATATGGATATAGAAATGGTAACGAAGGGAGTACATTAACCTATGGAAATAATCTGTTTGCATGCTGTGATTAGTTTCACTGTGCTGAGTTTGCAATCTGTTTTTGTTGATCAGAAATGTCATGTGAAGAACAAAGACATCAGGAAGTTCCTTGACGGTATCTATGTTAGTGAGAAGGGAACCATTCTAGAGGAGTATTAAATGAATTTACAGCATTTGTTGATCTTTTCTTTTTGTATCATATCATCAGTTTCCTTTTAGACGACTTTTGATAGCGGTTGTTCTGCTTTCATGAAAATTTTGCAGACAACTCCCGCAATTTATTTGAAATTAGAACAACAGTTTTGCACCTGTTTAGATGGTTTGGATTTGGACGAATGCTTTATATAGAATGCCCTGTTGAACATGATCTTGCTATTAAACATTTATTGGTTCTCCCTTGAATGTTTGGCAAAACTTAAAAAAAATTTACTTGAAATAGTAAATTTTTTTTTTTTAATTTTAAATTTTTTTTAAAAAAAATTTTTAAATTGACTTTAAAGACAAATTTTAAAGAAGTTACGTATCCAAGCATTTTTATCTAGTCTCATAACCAAAATGGAGCGGTGGTGAAGATTTGTTTGTTTCGAACTGAAACCAAACTCTTGACTAATTCGATGGGTGGAATGCGGATTAGTTTCCAGAATGAACTAAGATAATACTAATTCATTTGTTTCTTTAATCAACTGCTACCTGCCTTTACCATTTGATCTGTTTAGAACAATCTCGAAGACTTCTGAGCGTTTGGCCCCTTTCGGTCTTTAATTATGATGTTTTTGTACCGATGGCCTATATGAAAAGACATATGACCTTCTTTCCTCTTACATTCTTCATTTTCCAATCAAACAGTTCTAACTTGGTGTTGTGGCATCTCCTCTTTTAGTACTTATATATAGACAATGATGCTCAATAATACAGAAAGAGAAAGATATAACGCCATACAGTGTGTTGGGTCCCATGACGGGACTTGGGACCTCAAATTCTTCCCGTAAAAAATAATGGGTAATGATTTGCCAGACCTTTTCTTACCCTTTTTTTTAATAATATTTTACATATTATTAAAATATATATAAATTAAATATAAAAAATATTATTCCATATATATATTGTCAATTTATTTTAATTTAAAAGCAAGTTATATATTGAAGCTCTTATGCTTAATTTTCACAAGAAAAAAACTTTTAAAACA